AAAAGAGACAAACACTTTCTGAACAACAAGTCCCTTTTGCTAAAGATGGACCTGATCTTAAAGATTTGTATGAAATTGTTAAAGTAATTTATACTTTTTATTAAAAAAATTTTTTGTGATTTCTCTTGAGAAAATTTCCAGTTCTAAAATTATAAATTAGTCCCCCTCCCCCTTATATTTATTTTTAAAGGCAATTAAACCAACAGCAATTATTGGAGTATCAACAATTCGGGGTGCTTTTACAGAACAAATTATTCGAGAAATGTCTACATTTAATAAACACCCAGTAATTTTTGCCCTTTCAAATCCAACAAGTAAATCTGAATGTACAGCTATTGAAGCATATAAAGGAACTAATGTAAAAATAAATTTTGAAAATTAAAAAAAATTTTCTTTCTTTAGGGCTCTGCCCTTTTTGCTTCTGGAAGTCCATTTCCTCCTGTTCAATTGAGTGATGGACGAAATTTTAGATCAGGCCAATGCAATAATGCTTATATATTTCCTGGTGTTGCTTTGGGAATTGTTTTGTTTAAAGTGGCTAATATACCTGATAAATTATTTTTAATTGCTGCTTTGGTGGGGAATTTTGAAAATTAATTTTTAAAAAAATATTATATTAAAAATGCATTTCTCTATTAAAGGAATGCAAAAAATAACAATAAAAATATGTATATACATACATACCAGGGCTGGGCTAATTTCGCATTTTCGTGTTTTGCATCTTTCGCATATTTCACATTTTTTAGCGCGAAAAGTTTCGCATTTCGTATTTCGCTTTTTATTTTTAGATTTCGCCCAGCCCTAATACATAGTAATCTGAAATGCCTTCTCCTGTCTTTTCTCATAACTTTCCAAATGTTAAAACAAATTTTTGGAAATTAAAACCTTCCTTATAATTCCTTTTAAATTTTCGAGTGTCGGGAAATGACGATAAGAAATAATACATTTCAAAACGAAAAATAAATAAATCTATTAATTTTATTTTATAGAAATTAGCAGAATGTGTTTCTGATGAGGAATTATCGGTTGGTTGTCTGTATCCCGATCTCAAAAAAGTTCCCGAAATTTCAATAAAAATTGCTGTGGCAATTGGGGAAGAATGTTATAAAGTAAATATTTTTGTAAAAAAATTAATTCTAAAATTAATTTTCAAAAAAGGATGGAAGTGCAAAGCTTTATCCAGAGCCTGAAGATAAAGAATTGTTTGTTCGTGCTCAAGTTTACAATACAGATTATGAGGAGTTTTTGCCTTTAGAATTGGCAAAGTTTGATTTGAATAAAATTAAGAATTAAAGAAAAGAACTAGAATTGAATGAAGATCAAAATTAGAATTTTTTATTTTATTTTTTGGTTGGGTATTTAATATAGTGTGATAATATTTTGATGTGAATGATATTTAAAAATAACAGAAATTGAATTTTTAAATTAATTATAACTTTATTTTCTAGTTTTCTCTTTAATTATTGTCAGTATTTTTTAATCTTTTAACTGTTAAATTTAATTATTTTTGGATAATTATTGGATGAATTTTACTTTCTTTTGTCTATTTTTGTAATTTCTAATTCAAATTAATTACCAAATAATGCTTTTATTCAAACAACTAACAATAAAAATAATTAGGAAATATTATAAAAATAAATTGAATTTTGCCTTAATTGGTGACGAGCAAAGAAGAAAATAAGTAAATAAATTTAAATTCATGAAAAATAAATAAAAATGCCCGATTTTTGGTTAAATTAAATATCCAAATATATATTAAAACAAATTTAGTTTAAATAATTATTTTAATTAAAGCTTTTTGGTGGATTTTCATCTGACCATTGCATAAGGAAATGTATTGCTGGGATCTGACCTTCGGTCCTTCCACCGTCACCTCCGTCAAATCCAAAACGATAAGAATGGAACTAAAATTTTTAAAAGTTATTTTGAAGTTTTCTATGTCCCAAAACAAAGGGGGAAGTTTTCTTTTTGTTTTTCTCCGCCTTATAAATTCTTTATTGTGTGAATACAAAGCTTCCCAGATATCAAAAACACTAAACATTCAAAATACCTTAAAAGTAACAGTTTCATCAAAAGGTAATTCAACAACAACACGATCTTGTCCATCCTTGCCTTGAAAAGTAGAAACACCCGTTTCATTCTTTAAAATTAAAAATTATTTCCAAAAAGAATTCTCTCCAAAAAATTACTTTAAAATGAACAGTAGCCAAATAAGTAATATCTGCTTGACAAGCAACTGGTTCAGTAAAATAGGCGACAAGGGGATTCGGATCGCCAAATTTGCTACTCAATTGTACAATGTTTGATGCGAGAAGTTTTAATGCTGACCCGTAAATGCTTGGAGAGTCAACTGGTGCCTCTAACTGAAAAATTTTAAAATTTAAATTTTGAAATAGGCGAAGGATTGTTTATACTTTAAAAGTGCATTTTAGAGATTGTCTATTATTATGTAATACTGTTATAAAAATATTAAAGTTATTACATAATTATTTGTTTTTTTTAACTTAAAAGGGCAGACAATAATGAAATAAAAAATAAATAAATAAACCATAATGTCTAAAAAAATAATTTTACAACAAACATTAATAAAATAAAAAATAAAATAAAAAAATATAATTTAATATTCAAATTAATTTTTTTAAATTTCCAACAAGTAAATATTTATAGACAGTAATTGAAAATTACGATGATAATATTCATTACTTTAATAATAATTTTAACTAAAACTTTGTTTATATTTTCTCAAGAAATACCAATAATTACCAACAAGCAACGTTTTTTAATTGAAATTGATAAAACTAATGAATTTAAAGAAAATAATAAAACAGAATTATTAATTAATTTAAAAAAACTAAAAATTAATTTATCTTTACAAAATAATTTAAATGAAAGACCAATGGCTATATTAATTTCTGTCCATCCTCAGATCCACTATCGAAGTAATTTTTATGTTACTTCATTAAGAGATAACTGTAATGGCAATCTTGACAATGTTATTAAATATTCTTTTGCTATGGCTAATCCAGATATTTATATGGATGAAATAATGATGTTAAATGATTCTGATAGTAATATTGAATTAAGAAAGGGTTTAAGTATTTGTTTTGAGAAATTAAATATGTGGAATGGAGGGAGAAGTGTTGTGAGGAATTTATTTCATTACTTTATAAATAAAGTTAGAATTATGAAATTAGGGGGTTACATCATAAAGTGGATAACGGGATATAGGATACTGAAGATGAGATACCGAATATGAGATACCGCTTTTGGTAGTTTCCGTTCTTTTTTAAGATTAGCTTCGACACACCCTTTGTGTGTAGATTAAGGAGTTACATAATAGGAAAATAATGAAGACAGAACTCGATAACAATTTATTTAAATTATCCATAAACCCTTCTTTAAAGGCACTAATCCAAATTCGCCCACTTTTCGAGAATTTAATAAATTTGGATTTAACTAATTATCGAGAGACTATATCAAATACTACAATGTTTGTTGACAATAAAAGAGCAATTATGGAAGAAAATAAAATAAATTATTTTGAAATGACAAGATTTTTAAGTTATTTAAGTACAATTGAAAATAAAAATAAAAAAGAAAAAAAGGAAAAGTTGGAAAAAAATTTAATTTTGCTTTTAAAACAAAGAGAAAAAAATACAAAAATAAATAAACTTAAAAAAATTTCTTTTATAAAAATTTGTGGAAAATTTAAACAAAAAGGTGTTTATTTATTTAAAGTTTATCCAACAGATATTTCCTCTCCTAATTTACAACAAAAAAGTTTATTTGAATTTTCAATAAATATTTTTAAAAATATGGAGGAAGAGGAGGAAGAGGAATGTGTTTCTAAATTTTTTGATAAAGAAGAGAATTCTAATTTAAATTTTAGAGAAAATTTGGGGAATTTAAGAAAAGGTTTAAGTATTTATTTAGCTAAAATTGAAAAGAAAAATAAAAAAAGAAAAATTAATTTTGATAATATTGCAAAATTTTATCCATTATTTCGTAATGGAAATTATGAATTTTATAAAGACAATGAAGGGAAAATCATTGAGGAAAAATAAGTGAAATTTAAAAGAAAAGGAAAATTTAAATAAATAATTAATTTAAAATTAAATTTTAAATTGATTTTTAAACGATATAAATTTGTATTTAATAAATATTGGTTATTTTAATTGATAAAATTTTTAATACTAAAGATATCTAATAATTATTATTTTATTTATTAGCTTGTTAAAATATTTTATAAAATATATGTGTGATATCTCTCCCCTCAAATCCATTTTCTGACACTACCAGTAAATCCCCCCCCCCTCGCTCCAAGTAATTTTTCCAAATTTAAAAAATAATCTCTGAAATAAACTCTCCCCACCTTTATTTCAACGTCATATTCCCAAGTTGTCTTCGGATTTTCATCGTAAACTTTGTTATTTGATTGGAAAACACCATAAACACTCAATCCACTTATAAGAACATTTCTGTCTACAGTAAAGCAGACTTTGTATTCACGTCGAGAACGAGGTTTTGCCGAAACAGAAAGAAAACGTTGAACGACGTGTTTTGAACGAGAATTCTGTTCAAAAATATTTTTTCTTTAAATTTATATTTTAATCACCGCTCGAAAGCCTTTACAAGCAAATCGACACGGAGGGCGTGGGCGAACTGTTAAATGAAGGAATACTTCAGCAATCTCTTCATATGTTAACAAAGAAGAGCTTGCTGCCTGCCCAAATTCATTTACATCCATTAAAGAAAATCTAATTAATTCCATTGCTGGCCCCAAACATTTTCTAAGATTTTCAACTGTTGGTTGAATATGTTTACGAGAACATTCTGCTTCTGCCCAAGCTTTTGCTGCGTGGAAAATAATTAGTTCTGATGAAGGGTCCAATTGATTTCGACCAAGAACATTAATTAGTGTATCTCTGTCAATATCAGCTATAGCATTGGCATGGAGGGCAATATCCGTATTTTGGTCAATTACTTGATAACACTAATTTTTAGATGATTTTGCTTTGATATTTGCTTTGGATAAATACCTGTTCAACCAGAGTATTTTCATCCAATAGCCGTGCCTGTGCTAGCAAAGAAACGGCATTTGTTGCAGTCAATCTAGCAGTACAATATCTAACACATTCTGTCACCAACGGGTGAATGTCATATTTTTTAGCGGCATAAAGTGTATTCATTACATTCTCTTCATTAAGTAAATTACGTCTTGAAAGGTTTTTTATGTCAAAATCACTGTAAACAAAATCAATCTAGAAAAGGGAAAAAAATATTATTTTTTATTCCAATTCTAAATTTACCAAAATAGCAAAAGCTTTAGGCTCGCAATCTGGTACTCTAACCATTTGAAGACCTTTAACAGCCAGCTCAATTTTCATTGAATTCTCATCAAAATTTAATTGTTGTTGTTGTTCTCCTTGTGATTGCACTGTTTTATGACCCAAGTTTTTTGGTTTAGAAATTGAGAAACGTCGCTTGACAATTGAACCACCCTCAAATGGATGAGAAATTTGACGATGAAAATGTGGAGGTTGTGGTGGAGGGATTTCTGCTACAAAAAAGAATAAAACAGAAATAGGAAAAATAATTATTGCTTTTTTTTGTTATTAATCAGAATTATAACTCCTTTCAAAACTGTAAAAATGTTAAAATTTACCTGAATGAACATTTCGATGTATTAAATTTCCTCCTTCATCAACTCCAGGATTGTGAGTAGTTCCAACAACACCAACAGTTGGAAATGTTTTAATATCATTAACTCCGCGTAAATGATGTTCTCCTTCGAGAGATGAAGTAAGAGAAGACTCATTACTGAGATTATCTGGTTCTTCCTCATATTCTTCGTCTTCATACTCTTCATCTTCATATTCTTCTTCTTCTGCTCCTCCCTGGAAAATTTTTAAATAACTAGAAGTTCCCAATTTTAAATTTAAAAAATTTACAATATGAGCTGTTTTAGGTTGGATGTGTTGCAAATTTGAAATACCAGATGTTGATTCCTGTTGCTTACTATTTGAATTTTCAACATTAACTGCTGGATTTATTATTCGAAGTGATGTTGGTGATGAATCGCTGGCCATAGGACCATAAAACATTGCGAGAAAAACAGGAGAACTTGCTCCAAGGACTAATTTATGTGCTTTTAGTTTCTATAGAAAAAATTAAAAAATTCAAAACAAATTTTCAAGTCCCTATACCTCCATTTCCTCTCCAACAACAAAAGCAACATCACATCCAATCTCTTGAAGCCTAAAATCATTTAGGCGTCTCGTCAATGGATTTGGTTCAGATGAGACATTCAATGAATCTTTATTTTCATTATCCTGTTGATCATAAGGAAAAGCACCTCCGCTAGTCGTTCGTCTCATTTGCTCTTCCTAAGAAATTAGTAACTTAAAAACACCTTCATTATTTGCCTGTTTTTGTTGAAATTGATGAAAGCCGTTAAAGGCTGATGGTGCTGAAGAGGAAAGAGAACCATCATCTCTTTCACGTACAGCACCAATACCTCCCGATGATGAACCACCGCCGACTCCATTCTCATCGGGTGGACGAAGATCCATTTGGAGGTGAAAAATATATTATACTGAAGTTTGAAAAAATATTTTTAAAAAATCAACAACTCTTTGAATTGGGCAAAATTATTATTATATTATTGTTTGAAATTTAAACTTATGTTTTATTTTTAAGTTTATTTGTTAAAACGTGACTCATTTAACTATATGGGATTTGTCGTGCTATATTGACAGAATTTTCGAGATTTAAAGCACAAGGTACGGGGATGTGTCACCTTCGAAATATCATAGGATAAACAATTTTAAAAAGTCCAAATGAGAGAAAAAAGGGTTAAAGGTAAATGGGAAAAAATATTTGAGAGTACTTTATTTTTCTATAAGAAAATCAAAACAAAATGAGTTGTTGGAAGCTGCTTTTTCTAATAACAGAAGTTATAAAATGAGGGTGAAAAGACTAAGAAATTATAGCTTCAATCAGTGGTAAAGATAAATAGAAAAATAACAAAAGTGAGCGATTTTTGAAGATGTTTGGGTGTGTGGATTGGTAAAGAAGGATAAAGCTAAATATTGATCTTATTAGAAAATTAGTAAATTGTGTTATGGATTTTGAAAGAATTTAGATAAAATAAGCAACAAAAAATAAATTGGGGAACTCGTAAATTAAGCAGGTAGCTTGGAATAATTTGTAGAAATTTTGAGAATTAAAGTAACGCAGCTATTTCTCTCCTTAAGCTAGTGCAAAAGGTTATTCGGCGGCTGGGAGCGAACCAGCATCTTCAGTAGACCTGATTGACCTCGCCGCAAGTCTTAGGGCCTTAGGAATTAAATAGCTATATGCTTTACGATAGCTTCGAAAATGTGAATAATTTAAAAGTTTATTTCGTAATTTAGAAATTTTATTTTATTTAAAAAAAATTTAATTTAAATTGTCAAATGATTGAAAAAGATTTTGTCACACTTAAGTGATAAATTAAAAGGAAGATGACAATGTACCCACTTGAAATTATATTGTGTATTTTGCTTTTTGTTAGCTATTTCTTTCCTCATTCAATTCAATTGACTACCTCAACTAGCCCCAAAAATATTGAATGACAGAGCGAGGAACAGCCACTTTAGCTAAGGCACCAAACAAAAAGTTAAAAGAAAAAGCAAGATACTTTGACTGATCAAAATATATAAAAAAGCAAAAATAGTTTTGCAGAGAAGTTTCAAATTTAGTAGTGTAATTAATAAAAATTAAAAAAAAGATTATTTCACGTGCTAATTAATAAAAGATTAATTAGATAAAGTATTCATTGCAGACATTAATCTTTGAACAAAATATGTCACAAGATTAAAGTTAAAAACAGAATTATTAAAAACTAATTTAAAAACACTAAAAATAAATATTCCCCATTTTTAATTAAAATTCTTTTTATTTAAAGCAATTTATAAATATTATTTTACAACGACACAAAAAAGATTTAAGAATTGCAGCCAAATTTCACATAAAAGAAAGATCAAATGACAAGAAAAAAATTATTTTTTTTTAGGAAATTAATGGAGAATAATTAATTTTATTTATTTTATTTTTCTTTGATTATTTCACAAAAAATGTATATAGCACAAACATTATCCCTGCAGAAAAAAGTGCTGAAGCTGGCAATGTAACAACCCAAGAAAGAGCTACATTTATCAAAACTTTCCAATCTACCCCCTCCCCAGCTTTTATTAATCCAACAAACATTACACTTCCAACCTTTAAAAAATAAATTTTTTTAAAATTAATTTCCTCAAAAAAATTACCAAACAATGAGTTGTCGATATTGGAATACCTAATTTACTTGCACAGAGAACCGTTATTGCCATTCCAAATTCGATAGCAAAACCACTGAAATTTTAAAAAATATTTTTAAAAATTAAAATATTCTCTTTTACTTGCAAGGATTTATTTCTGTAATTTTTTTTCCAATTGTAGCCATAACTATTAAACAAAAATTAAATTTATAATATTTTTTCACAAATTCTCTACCTCTCTGTCCAAGCAACCAAAACCCCAAACAAGTTCCCGAAACTCCATAAAACATCATCCAAAGGGGAGTATCCCCTTCTTGAAAGACAGACTTTGTATTGTAAATTGACAACATTGCAACCTTTTTTTGATAAAAATAATTATTTAAGAAAAATATTTAAAATATACAAGAGGAGCAATTGTGTGGCTAACATCGCTTGCCTAAAATTAAAAAGATAATAAATAATTAAAACAAATAATTATTTACTCCATGGGAAAAGCCAGCAAAACAGCCAGTAACTACCTACAAAAAATATTAATTAAATTAAAAAATAATAACATTTTCTTTTACTTGTATAATACTAAAAAGACGAAGAGTTCGTTGATCTTCTTTACGATCACGTCTTGGAATAAACCAACGCAAAATTCCTTTTGGAGCTAAAAATTAATTTTTGAAATAGAGGAGATCAAATGATGGAATTAGATAGCAAACCACTGAAAACTACCACTACTAGATTATTATAGGAACATTCTCCCAGGTCCATAACCAGGATTTTTTCGGAGGGGGCCAAGGGGGGAAATTTTAGAAGGCCGTAGGCAAAAAATTCACATTTTTTCCTCAATCCTCTCCCAAAATTTTTCCCTTTTCCCCATTTTGGGAAGGGGGGGGATTCGGTTACGGGCCTGCATTCCTCGGTTACGGGCCTGCATTCTCCTCCCCTCTCTCCCTCCACCACTAATATATTTACTAAAAGTGAGGGAATTATGGGAATTAAAATTTATTATTTTCTCGGGAAGCCCTAATTTCTTTAAATTAACTAAAGTCAAAAACTAACAAAATTCAAAGGGTTGAAAACGATCATTATCCACTTTTTGTTGTTTCTTAATAACTCCATTAGAGATTCCCTCATTTGTTCCAGTAATAGAAATTGGATGAATTGTCGCCATTTTTAATTCGTTAGACTTTTTATTTTGAGAATTCTCTTCTTTATCCAATTCTTAAATTTTTTCAAAATTAAAAAAAAATTTTTGCAAAAATTTACCGAGTGACCATTTAATAACTCTTGGACGGATAATAATTAAATAGCTAAGTGATGCAATAAATCCAACAGTAAAGCTAATCATTAAAGTTATCCAAAAAGGAATATTTTGAAGATGAAGAACTTTGGAACCCTCAAAGAGAACCATAAAAGTGTAAAACGAAAAGCAGAGAAAATAAAATAAAGGCAATACACGAAGTCCACATTCAAATGGATTTTTCTTAAAAATTAGAAAATAAATTAAAAAAAACCACAGATTTTTTTACTCTTCTCAGTACAGCAAAATCAACACACATATAAATAGAGGAAGAAATAATTCCAGAAAGAATGGGAGAAACAAACCAAGAAATGGCTATTTTCCCAACAGTACTTTAAAAAAATTAAATTTTCTAAAAAAATTTTCAAAAAAACCTCCAATGTATTCCATCATTTCCTTTCATTAATAAAGTAAAACCGAGGGTAGAGCCAACAATTGAATGAGTAGAAGAAACTGGAAGACGAAACAATGTTGCAAGTACCAACCAACAACTACACCCTCCAAGTATTGCAACTTGCCCAACAAGTAAAATTTCTGGTTGGTCTTGATAGAGACTTATCTCGACAATACTTTTACGGACAGTGTCTACCACATTGTAACCTTTATTTGACAAGAAAAGAGGGGGAAATTAATTAAAAAAGAATTTTTTTGGTTGCCCTAATTTTTTTCAAAATTTTTGGTTAGCAAAACAAGACAACTAACCAACAAGTGCTGCCCCAGAAGTTTCCATTAAAGTAGCCATTATCTTTAAAAATAATTTTTATAAAAAATAAAAAACTATACAAACATTTGCTTGTTTTAATGTCAAAACTTTAGATCCAACAGAAGTCCCAAAAGCATTAGCTACATCATTCGAACCCATTCCAAATCCAAGAAGAAAAGAGGTAACAAATCCAGCAATAATTACCCACAAAAATTTACTCTAAAAATTAATTTCTTTTTAAATAATCTTCTTTATTTACCTTAAATTCTTCTAAAGTTAAAGCTACAGTTGTACTAGCCAAAATAGGTAAAAGTGTGCTCAACATTTTATTGCTTTTAAATAATGAAGTTGGAGTAGTTGTTGTTGAATCCATTTTTTTGTTTAATTAATTTAAAAGTAGGTAGTTATTTTTTAATTTTTAGAGACAATAAATATTTACAAAAATTATTTCATCTAAAACAGAGGGATGAAAGAAAATAATAAAAAGAAACTACTTTTATAGAATTAGAAAACAAAAGAGAATGGAGATAATTAAATTTTAATAAAGTCAAAAAATAATTAATTTTTGAATAAAACGCAAAAAGAAACATAATGCCAAAAATGCGAAAATTAAAATTTTGAATTAAAGTAGAAGAATGATAATTTTTATTGTATTAATTAATGTTTAAAAATAATTAAAAAGGGACAAAACCAAGTAGGCGCGCGGCCATATCGCCGCAAAGCCATAACTTGCTGGCAAATTTCTGGCCTTTATCAATTTTGGTACTAATCTCTTTAGCTCGATAGAGGAATCGTTACTAAATTTGTTGATTCGAAAATCTTGAAGCAAGTTATGGCTTTGAGCCGTAATGTCCGCGCGCCTACTTAGGCTGTACCAATTAAAAATATTCTTTTTTACTATAAAATTATTTTTATTTAAAATATAAATTCAGCATTACTCAAATATAAATTTACTACAATAAATTCGGCGGATTAATTTTTTTATAAATTTTGAAAAAAATTTTCTTTGATCTTTTATTTAAAAAAACAATAATTTTAATTGGACATAAAAATTTTTTTTAATTTACTAAAAATAGAATTTAA